TATCCATGCTCACCTAGTTCGCGCACCCTTCGCGCGAGAAAACGAAAGCGGTCACCCTCCGCGCAAGAAAACGAAACAAATGCGGTTACCGTTGCCCATTCGCGCATGCAAAGTTATTGAGCAAGATGTTAAGGAGCGAAGAGAGAGAGAAGCAAACACGATCGAGAGCTACTTGGCATAATCAAAGAAGGAGCCATAATTTGGTTCGCAATTACACATGGGTAAACAACGATGACAGCTAAGGAAAACTAAGGAAAGATTGGGCAACACTTAGGCAGAGCCAGTGTTGGGCTGCTCGCCCCCCTTGCTTGGCTTGCGACGCAACAAAGGGCTCTCCTCTTCCTCCTCGTCTTCATCAGCCACCTCGCCATCCCTCCGGGCGCCTGAAACCTCCTCCCCAGCCGGACGCTCTACCTCCTCCCGGCGCTCCCCCTCTTCCTCCTCCTCTTCCTCGGATTCGGAGTCGGAATCCAAAGGACGCTTCCCGCTGATCCATGATCTGACGTGCTGGACCATCTCGCGAGTATCCCAGTGCATCCCTGGATTCTCGGGGCGAACCTTCTTACCAACCGCTATCACGGCCTTGGTCATGGCATCCGCCATGATCTTCCCGAAAGGTTGGGAAGACTTGAACTGGCGGATAGCCGCGGCCTCGGCTGCGCGAACGGCCTCAGCCTTCGCGATGGTATGAAGGCGGACAAGGTCGTCCTTCTCCTTCTGGAAGTCTTCGCGGGCCTTGCGCAGCTCCTCAGAAAAGGAGGCTTCCAACTCTTCCCGGAGGGCGGAGCGCTCTTCGTTCCGCACCTTCTCTTTGGCAGCTTCCACGTCCGCGGCCAACCGGCTCTGCAAGAGGCCGAGCGACTCCAACGCCTCGTTGGCCTTGGATGTCGCGTCTTCAGCCCGGTTGTTTGCCCCGAGCACCTTCCCCTCCAGCTGTACGATCTGCGCCTCGTCAGCCTTCATCTTTGCGCGCATCGCGGCGCGCTCCTGCTGAGCTCGGAATGTCGCCGACAGACCCTACAACGCCACGAGCCTTAGCCAAATACGAAGGCAATAAAAGGGAAAACGGAAGAGAAGAGAGGAAGGAAAAACCTAAACTACAGGGATGCAACTAGAACTTACCGCGAAGTGGATCTGCGCCAGATCATGAAGGGGGTCCGTCTGCTCCACCCGCGGAGGAACGGTGAGAACGGGCCCGATCGCCCGGAGCGCATGGTTGGCGGAGACCAGGTTACACGCCGCCGCTGTGTGAATCCGCACGTCACGAACTTGGTGGACGGCGGCGGAAGCGGGTTTAGCGCTGGCGGGGGCAGCAGGGGTTGTTGCCCCGGAAGAGCTACTCGCCCCGCTCCCATCCCGGCGAGCGGGCCTGGTCACTGTCGCCTCCTGCTGCGACAACGCCAAAGACAGCTGCTGCGCGGCGGTTAGTTGCTGCGCGGCAGGCGTCTGCTTCACCACCAGAGGAGTTGGCTCCACGATGCGAATCGTCTTGCGGGGCCTCTCGACAGCTTGCGCGGGCGGCTGCTCGAAATCCTTCCGCTTCGAAACTTTAGGCGCTGCGACGGCCTTCTTCTTCTTCTTCTTGTCAGCGCGCGGCACGACGTCATCCACTGACATCATGCTGGCAATGTTGGAGAAGTCAACACCTGCGCCAATAAGTCGTAAGAGAGCGGTTAATAAGACAGAATACAAAGGAAAGAAAAAATAACTAACCATCCCCAAACAGCTCCTCCAAGCAGGCCTCGCGGACTCCCTTGGCGTATAAATTGATGCGATGAGGCATGCAAGCCTCATATTCATCGTTCAGCCCGACATAGAAGCCGACGTCCGACTCGAACCCATGCGTACTGCCCTTCTCCCAGGATGTGGGCTCCGCCATGGTCCCGCTCGCCCATTCCCCGGGGGTAGGCTTAACATAAAAGAACTCCTCGAACCAGGTTTTCTTCAGCTTGGGTGACCTCATCATCGACGACTTCATCGTCGGTGACCTCATCGTCGATAACTCCATCGTCCACGACCGGTCGACCACCCTGATTACGCCGGATGATCATCACCCCCCGAGCCTGCTGCATGGCTTCCCCACTACCGGAGGGAATATCACCCACGTCGGAGGAGCTTCCGACACCATCGCCGGACCTAGCGTCGTATGACGGCGTCGCCGGGATCCCACCGTCGCCACCGCCACGTCCGCCGTCAGACCCGCCATCACAACCCCCAGAACCACCGTCCCCGTCACCGGAACGGTCAGAAGGAGTGTGCGAGAGAGGGGAGAAATTACCTTCTTCGCCTTGCACGACCTCGGCCTCGTTGTTGTTGTTGACGCTGGACATGATGTCGACTCGGAACTTGGCAACAGCAGAAAAGGATCGAGGTTGTAGAAGGAGGAGAAAAAATTCTCAGAGAAAACAGAGGGAAACGATAATCAGAGGAAGCAGATGAATCCTCCCTCCCCACAACAACCCATTTTTATAGTGGGTTAGAGGGAAAGCAGAGGGCCAATGGGAAGGCAAGGGGCCAATGTCGGCCAGCGGAAGGCGAAGGGTTAAAGCAACATAGGGATCCGTAACCGTCAGATCCTACCAAATCTTTTCGAAATTCAAAAATCCCCGCCCAAATAACCTAACCACACAATGACACGTGGATACCTACCAGCATAGGCACTAGTCGGCGACGCCACGAGTGCCGCACACCGACTGGGGGGCAGGATATACCCGCGAGGAAAGAAAAACATGCTTCGCGCAGTGCTGGGTATCGCGCGAGGCGAACAAATCCATCCCAACAGTGGGCGCGCGACGTACCCGCAATCGCCCCACGCATCGCGCGCAGCGAGCCAAGCCCTATGACAAGCGCGGTGAAGAGCCCAATCGCGCGGGATATACCCACGAGGAAAGAAAAACATGCTTCGCGCAGTGCCGGGTATCGCGCGAGGCGAACAAATCCATCCCAACAGTGGGCGCGCGACGTACCCGCAATCGCCCCACGCATCGCGCGCAGCGAGCCAAGCCCTATGACAAGCGCGGTGAAGAGCCCAATCGCGCGGCAAACGCGTCACTGTTCCATAATATCGCGCGCGACGAAGAACCCAAACGCGAGCACGCGCAGGAGCCAACCGGTCGCGACAAGCGGAGTAGACGAGCGGAATAAGCCCAAAAAACCAGCCTCATGGAGACCACACAGGCCCGAGTCATTCAAGAAAAAATCCAAACAGGAGGTGTTCACAAAACACCCCCTGATGGGGGGCAATTGTTGGGCATGTGACTCGGGCCTGGCCACGTCAAGGAACGGGCGCAACTGGAAGGACTCTGACAGGGCAGCGTGAAGACCCCGAGCGCAATACCTCATCGTAGTCCACCACGTCCTGGCGCGAAGAGTTCAGGCGCGATGCGAGTTACAGGCGCCAAGGAAGAGCATAGCGCGGGCCGAGCCAAGGGAGGAGGGGAGCGTAGCTTTCCTCCCTCAGAAATAGTCACATCAGGGCCAGTGGCAAGTCTCTGACACGTCCTAGGTAGAGGGATGGCCTGTACAGGGCCTAAAATCCTCAGTGTGTGCCAGTGGTCACATCATGGTATCTCAATAGTCACATCTTGTATCCCCACTTGGGTCAACCACTCACCCACCACAACGAAGCCTATAAATACGGCATTTACTACGGTGGGTGAGGGGGACGGATTTTTCACCATTCTCTCTCTATAACAATCGTTTCTCTTTCTAAAAGTTTGGACTCCGGTCCTCGCTCAACCCTCTAATTCTTATCTCCCTGATCAAACTCGACCCTTGCGTTTCTTCTTGACCCAAACTCTCACTCGAACCTCACTCCTACACTCAGTTAGGTTCAAACAACATGTTTACTCTATCACCCATTATCATTTATAGATGAATATGAGATCATTTTCAAACCTTAATTAATAGTCATGTTACAAATGGATGTTTACAAATATTTGAGGTGGTGTTAACAAATTATTTTTGATAAATACAATTCATTAGCCAAAATTTTCAGACTTTTCAAACAATTAGTCAAAATTTTCTAAAATACAAAATACTAGTCAAATTTTAACCTCCATTGAGCAGTTTTGTTGTCAATAATGACTTCACAACATGATAGTGACTTATAAGAGACACGTAGCGGTCAACATTCCAAAATTTTAGTATTTTAACTAAGAAAAGAGTTTACAAAATTACTAACGGTAACAAACAAAATGCCTGATATATATATTGATGCGAAACAAAAAAAATATGACGAATATTTTCGAAAGTTTGAAAGATTTGGCTAATAAATTGTATTAATTCAAATATTTTTATATACTTTTAAACACTTTGTAGACCAATTGTAAGGATGGTGTATCATAGACATGCTCATGTACATACATTCTAATTTATACCACATATCTATCATCTTCACATAAATTCAAGTAAAACTCTAACCCTCTAATTATTTATTCTCCATTTCTCAAATCCCTAAATCATCAAAGTTGCGTCTTCGCTCTCAACCGTGAGGATGAAAAATATGATCTATTGTTTTTTTTAATATGCAAAAACGTCTAAAAATCTAAACAACATTATCTTACATTTTTCTTTCAATTCGCGCTCACATTAATTGAATTTCGAGTTACGTCAGTAACATACATGCTTGATGTTTGAAATTAAGGAATAATACTACTATTTGTTGGGCCAAGCATTGATACGCATGAGCCTCAAGCCCACCATCACCAAAAGCCCACAAAGAAACGAATCGGGTCCGAACAGGGGAGAAGCACGAGGATCAATCGGAGGAGGTCTTTCCCCCCAAAAATAAGACAAGAACGCCCAACATTTAATCCTACGAATAGCTAAAAGACCGCTCGACATAACGATCCAACGGATTCCTGACCCTCCTAGTACGGAGACTGACAGAAGTACGTTCTGAAGGTGCATTTAATAAAGCCGAAGGCATCCCAGGACGCCCGACGGGCCATTAAATGCCCCCCAATCCAACCACAGCTAGTATAAATACCCACTGATGGGCTACATTTATGGTAACTTCAACCTACTCCACTCTCTCTCTTATTTACAACTCATTCACTTCTCTCTCTAACTTTGACATCAGAGGAGGTCCCAGGATTATCCTGAGGACATTTCTTGCAGGGTTTCGGAGACCGCCCTCGACCATCGAAGGCCGCACAAGACCTGTGAAACCTCACAAAACCGCCTGGTACGATCCAGGCACAAACACTATTAATATCGACTTCTCACAAAATTAGCATTTGTGTTCTACACTTTTCTATATAACAATTGTGTTACTACGTGTCTCTTTCGTTTGTCATGCTATTAAGTTTTGACTAAGTGGCAGAATAAGTGGGCTTTGACCTTGAAAATTTTAGAGAAAAAAAAACAAAAATTAAAAGATGGACTATCTCCAATAATGTTAAACAAAAACAAAATACGGTTAAAATATTAGATTTGTTGTAATATGAAGGTTGAATCTGATTTGCGGGTTGAAGCTTGAAAGACCAGAGGAAAGAAAGGGATTTGGGTTTATGTTGGTTTTTTGATTAACAGTGGGGTCATTCTAATTAATGAGTTGTAGTTTCTTTTTTTAATATTATGTTACTCAATATTAATTGGTGATATGCAAGGTTGTCAACCAGCGGGTTGTCCCGGACTCGGTCGACCTAGTAGGTCAAGACCTCAAGGATTAATGGTTACCCGGTTTAACCGAATTTAGCCCCGAAAATTAAGCAATCCAAAATTACAAAGGATTACTAACAAAGTAACAATTAAACTTCTTCCTAACATCTAAAACATCAAACAATCGAGTCCTGCAGAGGGAGGATGCGAGTCCCAAATCCAACAATTAAACTTCTTCCATTTACATTTATTGGAACCAAGTCCCAAATCCAACAAACCCTTACCAAATATCAATCGAGTTTGAACGGCAAACAGAGGAGGAAGCGTCGATCAGCAAGGAGAACGCTGGAAGGCTGAGCTGCCAACTGGAGATGGAAGACCGAGCTGCCAGAGGAAGGTCGAGCTCCAGGCGGAGGAGACCAATCGGTGGAATAGAGGGAGACGGCGGCCGAGCTGTGAAGGCTGAAGGGAGAAGACTCTCCGGCGACCTGCACCACGCCGCCGATGAAGGGAGAACACCCTGGCCCGGCGATGCGATCGACCGGTTGCGGTAGCAGGCGACAGAGCGGCTGCAGGAGCGGGAGACAGAGATGCGATCGAGACGAAGAGGTGGGGTTTTCTTTCGTTTCCAGACCCTTACTCTTATTTTGGCCTTCTACTAGCAGAAAAAGACGCCGCACAGCCTGAAACGACGCCTCATGAGAAGCAACCCACTGACCCGTTCTGACGGGATAACCGCCTGGATTTTGCTGGGTTTGACCAGTTCCGGGCTGACAGTCAAAAGGGTTAGTATGACCCGTTTTTTAGGGTGGTTCCGGACCTACCAGAGTCGACTCGCGAGTCGAAAACCTTGGTGATATGACACGTCCAGTCTCTGCTTCTGTTCTTCTTCGTCATCTGTAACCATGAACAATATTGGGGCAGTAAACGTGAATTACTATGTGTTTGTGTGCGACTTGGAGTAGAAATATATATGTCTTTATTGGGATATTTATATATAAATGCCAATTTAATTAAAAATCGATATTTGTAGTCTCGAAATTAGATCGTTAAAGGAAAACAAGCAATAGTATAGTTCCATTAGCGAAGGAATCACACAGTTGGTACTCTTTAAACTCTATAACCTCACATCATAACTAAGAAACACAATTCATAATAATGACAATACTAAAACCATCTATCATTTGCAGTACGTACTATCTAGATGGTCAACTGATCTGCTACTACTACTAGCTAGTGTCGGCGGTCCTTGTGCGCTGCCAAGTCCGCCTTGTTCGCGAAGCGCCTGCTGCAGGACTCCACCGGGCAAACCTCCTTGTAGTCTTTATGATTCGAATCCTGGTGCAGTATCAAACCCTTGGCCGTGTGGCATTCCTGGTGCAAATGTGGCAGCGGGTGCCGTGGTCATTTTGAGCGGCGGCAGCTCCGTCCATCCTGCCATGGAAAAAATGAAATACATTAGCAAGCAAACCATTAAACTATAAAATAAATAATTAGAACTAGGTAGAACAGTTTACGAAGAAGTGAGAAGTGCTGCGAGGCTTCGCTACTGATCTGCTGGGAAGTTGCAAGCTTTAGGAATTTGCTTTTAGCTAGCTCGACTACGTAATGCTTTGCTTTTTCTCTTTGTGTATAGCTAGTGAAGTTGTTCTATCGTTTAAATAGTCATAACACATGCATTATTTGCATGGTTTTTCTGTATATAATTGATAAGTGTAATCTATGGATAGCTTATATGCTGCATGAGTCATTACTCATGCACATGGTGTTTTATGGTCGAAATAATTAGGTAGTTAAGAAAGGTCAAATTTGTGGGTTGATGGTGTTTGCAAGATGAGCTTTTTTGCAAAGAAAATTTTCAATTTTCCATTAACTGTAATGTAAGATTTGAGTTCAATTATGCACCTTTCTCTCCCGCGGGTGATTCATGTGAAAACGATGTCAATCATCATATGTGATATCATGGACAAGAAAGAACATGAACTTGGATGATTTAGGGTTTAGGAATTTAGAATTAGGGTTTCAGTTTAAAGTTCAAAATCGAAGGTGTAGAACTTAGGATAACTCATCGATTAGTTTTGATCCTATGATATAACATCATATTAGACTAATGCTACCAATTAAAATTAAAATTTTGATGTCTTTATGCTACTTTTAGAGTTGTGTGCATAGTATGCACTCATTTTGTGAGAACACTGAAGAAGCCACTATATGTGTGGTTAACGACTGGCGTACTCATGAACAATACCATACTCCAATTGATCAGGACATTGGCCAGGGGCGGAGCTAGAGTGTTGGACCCACCCTTGATCGGGAGAGAAGTTGGTAAATTATGTATAGAAATTAATTGAAAATAATAATTAGGGAGTATCTAATTGAGAATTATAAACCTTACAAATGCGTGATGTGAAATTTACGTATCGTTTATTGACATATTCAAAATTTTATAACCAGTTATGTTCAAATAACAGTGATGTATATGATCCACTAAAATCAAAGGTGTACTTATTTGATATTAACATCATAATTTCGCAAATTTTAGCTAATTTGTAAAACAAACAACTTTATTTTTACTAGGAAGGAGTGCCATAGGGTGGGTCCTTGAGAAGAGAATGGATAAATTAGATATAATAATTAATTAATAATAAAATTAGGACGCGTCTAATTGATAATAGATGACCGAGAGGCTTTGTATTTGAACCTTGACAACCCCATTTGGTAAGCACATGATAATCGGATTTGTGCAAACTTTGAGTTATATAAGTTGGTTTATATTTGAGTAAGTGTGTTAGTAAATAGTACAATAACATATATTATTCAACTTAATCAAAGAACTCCAGTTATCAATAATAAATGGTTATTGAAGAAGTGAATCATCTTAAAGCGAAAGACTAACTAAATAATGAGTAATTGTTTCGTATAGATAGAGTAATGTTCTTTTTTATAGTTTTGACTACCAATTTATTTTAAGTTACCAAGTTTTCCAAAATAATATCAAATCCTAAATTATGAAAATAGTTAACAAAAACTTTTTTATCATATGAAATTTTCTTAAAATGGACTCACCGTAGAGGAATTTCTCGCTATACCCTTGACCGTTGGATGTACTTCGTTGTACTTCAGCAAATCAAACTCCTCGATGACTATTTTTCATTAAATGAATATTAAGATTTCAGCAAATCAAACTCGTCAATTACTATTTTTCATTAAATGAATATTAAGATTTGGGTTCGGATAAATCAGATCCTATACTATATTAATATTTTATTAGAAGTCATTATAGTATAATAATGTCTCTAGAGTATCTGAATTGTACGTATGCTCTGGTATGACGTACAACTTGACTTATAGGTAACTAGATTGTACCCCGGTCTGTTGGCCGATAATTATATGATAATAACATTTAAAAAAATTATGTGTTTAAATTTCAGTAATATGTTCTTCTCTTAGACTCTTACATCCATGTCATGTTATATGTCACTGTTATGTGAATTAACAAATAGTCTTATCCATTTTACAAAATAGCAAGGTAGTTTGTTATGGAATGTTTGCCCTAAGAGATGCTTTACAATGGTGCTTGACCTATGGCTTTGTTTTTGTCAAATTTCATGGGGACTCAGAACAATTGATACGACGGATGGTGGGGGACGATTTTGCTCATGATCGGAGTGGAGGTGTGCTCGAAGATGCCAGGGTCCTAGCTTCCCAATTCAGTTGGATTTCTTTATGCTTTGTTTCTCGTCGACTTAATAGGGCCGCCCATCATGAGGCACAAAAAACCCTCACATCGGGAGTTCGACTATTGGTTGACTCCCGCGCTTTATTTATTTCCTCTGTATGACTGAACTTTTACCCTGACTTTGCCAAAAACAAATAACAAAGGTTTCTATGTCACCCTTATAACAAAAAAAAATTGTTGAATTATAACAAAATTTAAACGAAGGTTTCTAGTTCAAATTTCAAAAATCTTTCTCTCCTCTTATATTTGTGCCATGATTATATGTCATGCCAATTAACAAAAAAATGATAAATTTAACAACATAGCAATGTAGTTTCTTAGTTTTTACTATTAACAAAGACAAATTATTCAATCGTTGATAAGAGCATCCATCATAGATAATACAACATTGTAATCATAGTCTTCTATGCTGATTTTGGTTGAAATTGAAACAATATAACTCATGCAAGGAAATATCAACTCATGCTAAACTTAAATACACAATATTGTAGGTGTTCTAAAATGATTGATTTCAATTCTTTACCATAAAGAATCTCCATCATCAACTGACATTGAATGAATAGTCTTTTCTCAAGCAACCATTAGGTGTTTAATCTCATTTTTATCATAAAAAGAATCAAAATAAAAAAATTAAGTTGCATTTTCAGTTTCAACATAATAAGATAGATTTTTTAATATCGTAAGAATTTTAGCTTGTGAGAAGTTCAATCAGTTTAGGAAAATTAATAGCTCCAATTTATGTGAATAACTTTTTATCCGCAAAGGTGGCCAATCACGAATAGGTGATCAATAACATCTTAAGAACTAAACTAATAAATTAAGAAATATTTACCTACTTTGACGTTCAGAGATAGAGAGGAATGAAATGGTCAATGAACATAGAATTAATAGCCTTAATAAGAATTTTATTGAATTGAGTAACGTTTCTACTTCATAGAGTTATTTTCACAACACATCTCTTGTAATGTTTCTACTTCATAAAGTTATTTTAACACATCTATTGTAACCGAATTGAAAATTAGAACTTTAATAAAACCATCCGATTCTAAACTAAAAATTATATTTGTAAACTGGTATTCCCACGTGGTTGGATATCGATAGATGATTTAAACTTCATAAATAATTTATTTTTAATAAATTACTCGCGTTACGTACTATGATAGACTTGTCTCTTTATTTTATGTTTGGTTGACCGTATTAAACATGTATAAAAAAATTTCATATATATTTATTTTAAGTAAATAAACCGATAATTTGTTTATTTTATATTTAGTTGTATATATAAATTCCTAAAGTTAGTAGTATGCGGAAATGAAATATAAAAATCCGATTGATATCCTCCGGTCAACCACCAAAAATTGAGAAGCAGAAAGACTCTCGAGTCCTCCCTTGCTTTGCGGAGAGACCAGAAAAAATCAAATTGAATAGGTGCTTAGCCAGAACGTAGTTATAACTTATATATGTGGGAGGATCCCTATTCCAGCCGAATTCGGATCCGATTGGTGCAAATTAAGATATGTCGTGCGACGTAACATAGCTTAATTATTCTTAATCATTCCTAGTCCCAGTCGGGCAAGTATCGTTCATATGTATATATATATAGATAAACGTACAATTTGCCGTCCCAATAATATTCTTGTGATCAACCTAGCGCGTGAGAATGGCGACGCCGGCGGTGGAAACAATAAGAAACGGCAGAGATTGGGCGTGGCTCCCGGAGCTCATCCTCGACTCGGTGCTCCAAAACTTGGTCTCCTTACAAGACTACCTCCAATTCAGCAGCGTTTGCAAGCCGTGGCACGCGGCGGCCGAATCCCAAAAGCGACGTCGTATCGCCACCAGCCCCCAAAACCAAGCCCCGCTCCTCATGGTCCCCACTAAGGACCGCAGCCACTTGCGGCGCGGCCTCTACTCCGCCACCGCCCGCAACCGGCTTCTAGAAACAACCCTCCCGGTCCCTTGGCACAGAAGGTGTTGTGGTTCTTCCCACGGCTGGCTCGCTTTCCTGGAAGAAGAAGACCGCGTCACCCTCTACAACCCCTTCACCCAAGCTCGAATCTCCCTCCCAACCATCAGCGGGACGAGCCACCTCCGCGACGAAGCCGACGACCACTTCCACCTGTATACCAACTTCGCCAAGAAAATCGTCCTCTCCGCCGACCCTTCAACCCACGGCCACGACTACGTCGTCGCCGCGCTGATCAACTACCCCGTGTACAGAACCCTGGCCGTGATCCGGCCCGGCCGGGACGACAAGCGGTGGACCCTATTCTCCACGTGGACGAACTACACCGGCCCCGAGGAGCTCTCCACCGACCTCATATTCCACCAGGGCTGGATCTACGCGACCGCGTACCGCGGGATGCTCGCACGTGCCAACGTCGAGGGCGTCGGCACGCGCGGCTACGTCCCCGTGCTGGAGATGGTGGTCCCGCAGTGGTCCGAGATATACGAGATCTCGAAGCCGAGCTACCTGGTGGAGTCGTCGAGCGGGGACGAGCTGCTGATGGTGGTGCGGTGCTTGGAGGAGAGGGACCACGAGTTTTCTTTCGTGACCGCGGACGTCAAGGTGTTCAAGCTGGTCCGAGCCGCCGGCGCGAGTTGTTGTCATTATTATGTGGAGGTGGAGGATCTGAATGGGGATGCAGTGTTCATCGGGGACAGCTATTCGGTTGCGGTTCCGGCGGCGGAGTTCCAAGGCTGTGAAGCTGATACCGTCTACTTTAGCGACGATTACGTGGAGGTCAAGCCTCACTACTTTCATTTGGGCCCGCACGATATCGGCAAATTTAACGTCAAGGAGAGGAAATTTGGTACTCATTTTTATGTTGCTGATCCAGCTCAGAATCGAGGGATGCCGCCACCCATTTGGGTTTTCCCTACATTGATGAAACAATGACAATTAATGATGTCATGTGTCAGTCAGTTATTGGAAATTAGCTAGGAGCTATTTCACTTATTATTATTCGATGATTTTTGAATGATTTAAGATTTTTTTCATCTTGTATAATTTATTTTCGAAACTTGAAAGCATTGAGGTTTGTAAATCAAACGGGTACCAAAAAAAAAAGTGAAATTTGTACTTTAGTTTTTATCTAGTCTGAGACCATTAATCTAACTCTATGCCCCATCCTTTTTGCTTTTGCCTTGCTCAAAATCTTCAATGAAGTTCCACTATTCCCCATTTTTGGAGGTTGAATAATAATTTTACCAAATTTTAAGAGTGTCCGGTTATCACTCAAATAATTTTTCACAATATGCAAACTAGTTGAATAATATAATATGTTCCCAAATTGGCATGTATCCGCTGGCCCCATCCTATTGCTTTTACTCAAAATCTTCAATGAAGTCCCCTGTGCCTCATTTCTGGCGTACATTCACATTGACCCGAAAGGCCCACTGGACCCATCGACCCAGCCCAGTACTTAGTTGGATCGAGATGGACAAAAGATCAGTAATTGGCACACATAAATGACGAGCAAATATCTCGTGAAGGCAAGGCAAAAATTCCGTTCCATCCAAGTCCAACCCAATCCAACCAACTGTACCAAATGCTAGTGCCTGCAAGTTGCTTGCGGCCATCAATGGCCACCTTCTACGACAAGGCTGTCTCCTCTAGAAACAAAGCACGCCACTTAATGCCCACTCTGCCAAAGCAACATTCTCATAGGCTGGCTGCTGCAGCTTCCCCCATTTACACAACACACACGGACACGGCCAACCAACTTTAAATTTCCAACTGCCCCCAGAGTACACGGCTTTAACTACAATCAAATTCACGGAAGCAGTAGTACCAAATTCAACAAGGAAATAAGTGCTACAACGGAGATAATCCCGTAGATGCTCCATCTTTCACGGGTGATTGACCAGGAGCTGTTCTCGATTTCGGACGAATCGACGGCCAGAGGCATTCCGTCGCGATTAAGGGCGCAGGAATGCGGCTGGGAATCCATGCCATTTCCGCTGTCGTAGTTGTTCGTCATTATCGCTCGGAGGACGGCAGAGACGGTCTGGATGTAGGCCGTCCGGTTCTTGGCGAGGAGCCATGTGAGACCCATCAACTGGCAGTCCTTGTTACGCATTTTGGTGCTTCTTTCCTCTGTTTTGTTGCTTGCGTTCCAAGCCTCCTTATTTTTATTGCTGTTGAGCTGCAGCAGGAAAAGGGTTTCATCGTTAGGTTTGCAACAGTAAATACCTATGCTGATAGGTGAAGCTTTTAGCCTTCAGTTACCAGCAACACATTCCATGATTATTCATCCATCCACCTTCCAAAATCTCCCTGTAAGATACTTTTGTGAGTTCTTTACCCTACTGAAAGGGACAGGGCCATTTACAACAAACTAGGGAACGAACAACTAGCTAAGCACTGGCCCCCAAGAGAAAATGCAAGTGAAAGCAACATGGCACATGAAGAGCACAAATTATTGAGTTCCACTGTTTGCTAGTCTTATCCTTTTGTCACATAAGGACGAAGAGAAATGGGTTCTGTTTTGCCGGTACATAAACAGGGGATCACAAATCAATTAGGTCCACTCCAACAGTCCAACTTACTTGTCATAGATAGTCGACCTAACAAAATTTTGCTGTACCAAATTTGTTTCTACTAAAATACTTTGCCCTACATTCAAGCTTGCACCTTCCCCCACTTGACAAATAGGATCAAACCTCAAAGACAGGCAAAATCATTAATGGGCCATCAATCCCACATTGGAATCTCTGGTTCCACTCTATCGTTCCAATCTTGCTGAGATGCAGAATGGGGTAAGCGAAAGCACTTTACTCATTAAAGATTAACCCATAAATACCAAGAACTGCGCTATATAAAAATTGCAGAGTACTGAGTCTCCCTATGTGATGATTAAAGGTTAACCCACGAGCTCGAAAGGAATGACAAAAGGGAGAAAGAGAAGGAATTGGATCCTGGACATAGGTTCACTCGCTACCATGGAGCGTCATGTCCCGATCTCATAAGCAAAAGCCACAACTTTCCCAATTCGCCATAGACACTAGAAGTTAAGAACCCTAATGTAATCAACAAATTCTGCCTGCCCAATTTCAATTCTCACACAGTCTCGCTATAATCCCATCATAGCCGAACAAAAAGAACAATACCCAGAAACGAGATCTAATGTCATTGCCAATTTTCACCAAGAACAGAGTAAAAACAGAGAGAGGACTTACGGAATTGAGAGTGGTCAAGCACTTGCTGCAGCCACTCAACCCGTGGAGTCCTCCATTCACATTGCGGCTGCTGCTGCTCAAGCAATCCCTCTCCAACCGCCTCACGCGCCGGTCCCCGACGAGCTTCCCTCCGGCGTCGAGCGAGAACGCCTCGGGGCAGCTCAAAGGGTGGAGCCGAATCCCGCAGTAGCAGTAGACGGCGTCGCAGGACTCGTTGACGCGGGGGAGCTGGATTCCTTTCTCCCTCAGCCCTTTCTCCAGGGCATCCACGCAGGTCTCCGAGTCGTCAGGGAGCAACGGCATGTCGTACTGGCGGCCGCTGGTGCGGTTGGCGGCGGCCGGGTGGCCGAGGGCGGTGGCGGAGTAGGCGGAGTAGAGCCATGCGGCGAGGACGGGGCAGCAGCGGGCCTTGTGGAGCTGCTGCTGGGAAACAGAGCTGATTTGGGAGGTGGAGCAAGCGGATTTGACGCCGTGGAAAAGTGGGGCGGGGAGGTCGAGAGGGCAGGCTTGGTAGGTGGATTGCTCCGGGAAGGCCGGGATGGTGGAGGGCGGGGACTGGGTCGGGTGGAAGGGCTGGATGGGTTCCGGGTCGGGTAAGGGAAGACCCGAGAGAAGGATGGGGAAGAAGGTTAGGAGGAGGAGGAATAGAGAGGGGATCAATGGAGGATGGGGAAGGCTGGACATTTTGGGAAATGATGAATTGATGATTTCTTGTGTTTTGGTTGGAGCGGTATTGAGATTATGGGGATGGGAATGGATGAAGGGAAAGAGAGAAAGGAAGAGTGGGAGGGAGGGAAATGGGGGGAAGAAAGAGCAGTGAGGAAACAACACTTTTGTTCTCTGGGGCTTGGTACTGTGGGGCCATACTTTTGGCTGGTGTGTCTGCACAATTGAGTATGTGAAGCTATGTGAAAATCTTTTCATGGGTGTTTGGGATTATTGGATCAAATTGCTTTGGTTGGATAAGCTCGGGTAATTGGATCACGCTTTCATCTAATGCTTACCAAGTATTTTAGAGTCAATCAAATGAGTATGAACGTTTGTGTACACATTTTTATTAAGGCCGAGATACACTTTCAATACAATTTTATGAACCATTCTTTCATGACGATGTGGCAATGCATGATGAAAGTTGAACGCAAGTAATGTCCATCAGGGTTGGGACACCATTCTAATAGCTTCAGGGAGGGTTGTCTTTTTTGGCGTGGTCTTACATTCAGCACCATCAAATACGCACGATAGCGCTAATAACTATGGATTTCGAACAATATAATCCGATTCCTTACTCAATAATCCTGTATTCGATGTGTATTAGAAATCTAGAACCATGACTTGATTCCATGAGATGGTGGGAATAAGTGTCAGTGAGGAAGATGATGTGCATTATTATTCTTTTAAGATGACCCAGAAATTCCTTTGACTTTATAATATACAGTTCTTGAGCAGTGAGCTCCCCATCAAGGTGTTTTTTTTACCATTTGCTTTATATGTTAGCTGTGTTTGTGGCTAGCTCGTGCTCCTGGCTGCAGCTTTGGCAGGGCAAAAAAGTGAAGAAAAATTGAGAATTCTATTCTGCTTTTCTGCTTCTTTCGTTCATTGCCTTTCCCTTTTCCTCTGCTTTTTACAGCCTTCGCTTCCTCCTAAGGTTAATTGCATTGCATGGTTGGTCATGGAGATTGTATTATTGTAAAAAATATTTGGTAATTTGAAATATTTAAATCTATTTGTGGTACTTCAGTTTACTGAAATCGTTCACGTTTGGTTACTTTCCGTCCAACTCCGTTAACTTTTGCTTACATGGCAGTCAACTCTGAAGTGTGACGTGGGCACGTGGCAATTTTAAAAAAAATAAGATTAATAAAATTAAAAAATTTAAAATTGTCATCTCATTTTCACCTCATTATCACTTTTATTTAAACAAATAAAAAATGATAATTTCTTCTAATCCCCCTAATACCAATACCCGTCGGCACCCTGCCAATCCATTATCAACAACAAGAAACTCGAAATCAACACAAGCCAAGAACAAACCCCAATCTTCCTCTGGAAAGCAATAACAATTTCCTTGTTCAACACAAGCTCTACATTATTCGTATACCCAATAAGACTACAGCTGGAAGATAGGCGACTAAGACGAGGCAGCTGTTTCTGCCAAAGATCCAACAGTGGCTGCAAACCAGTCAACCGAGACAGTGGAGACATTTCAACATTTATATACCTCTGCAGCAATAAATACTGAGGAAAAGAGGTTAACATGATTTCAGGATTGCCGGAGATGTTGCGGATAAGCTGAAAGGCGCAAATCCCTACAACAACTCCTGTCGCGGCGAACAGAGAATACACCTGCGGAAAATCCAATCACCAACCACACGATTACAAACGCCATAGTTCCAAATCTACTCATCTACCTACTATTTTCTTTTCTAGATGAGGGAGAGAAAATGTGCTATGAAGAAAGTGAAAGGATCTGAAAGTTCATTACCTCAGGGCTCAACCATCGATTGCCGCCGCCCATCGCTCAGATCATCGGAAGAAATGGAGGTTGAGGACTTGAAGCTAGGGATGTAGAAAAGACACGGAGAAGAATGGAGGGATGAGAGGAAGGAGACTTCAACTTGACAAGGAAGGAGACTTTAACTATTTGGATTAAAAGAAGGTCTTGCTCTCTTCTCCATTCTGGCTCGCCTCCGCCGTTGACGAGATAATATCTGCCTTGGGAGGTCACCGGAGGCAAGTAGTGGTCTCTAATTCTCTCCCTAGCTCTCCCGGTTGTTCCCGTTTCTCCTTCCTGAGGCTGGAATTTGATTCAGGACTGGGAAATGGAGAGATCTTTCCCCTTTCCAAACCCAATTTAGTTTGACTGGGAAGTTTCAACAATGGAAGCAGCAGCGACGGGCGACGGCGGGGTATTGGTATTGGGGGATTAGAAGAAATTATGGTTTTTATTTATTTTAAGTAAAAGTGATAATGAGATGGAAATGAGATGGCAATTTAAAAATTTTAATTTTATTGATTTTAAATTGCCACGTCACACATTTAACGGTCAACTTTTAGAGTTGACCGTCACGTAAGCAAAAGTTAGGCGAGTTGGACGGAGAGTGACCAAACATGAACGTTTTAGTAAACTTAAATGCCACTAATGGATTTAAATATTTCGAGTGACCAAACATGAACGTTTTTTATAATCTCAGTAACCAACCATGCAATTAACCCTTCCTCCTAAGTAACTTTTTTGGCTACCATGAACCACCGGAGCTGCTGAAATATCCCCGAATGGTGGGCCTGTAAAATGTAGCCTAACCTATGAATTGAAACCATATACGCATTGGGCCGGACCATTATAAAATAGATTAGAAGAGAATTTGAGTCCTGACTGGGCTAGGAGAAGGCAAAAAATAAACCCGCGATCGTGTCTAAATTTAGGGTTCGTTTGGAAGTTGCGTATGTTAAATCGTTGTATTGTTATCAATCACTATGATATAAATGCATGCATAGATACAATAGATGCATTTTGAAATTACATTGTTTGGTTGTTGAGATTATAATTTATGAATTGATTGTTATAAAGTTACTTTATAAGGAAATGTCATATTTGTCCTCCACTTTTAATATAAAACAAAAAGAACTATGGACATAATTGGAAAAAGTAGAGGTACTCAATTATTAAACCAACAATCTCAACTAAAAGTTGAGATTGTACAATCCTTCATTTTTGTTGATTGTTGGTGGGACCCACACAAAACAATACATGCATTGTTTTGCAACTTGACACTTCCAAACGTTATATTGTGGACAATGCATGTATTTAACAAATACAACACTAACAATCGCAACTTCCAAACGACCCCTTAGTAAATTATAAGGAAAAAAGTTTAAAAAACAATAATTCAAATTTCAAAGCACTTCTTTTTACACTGTTTTTTAAATATGTTCATATTTATAGGGTCCAATTAAGTTGGCCATTAGAAAAAGGAAGGACATCCAACTAAAATAAGGACTGGGTTATGTTACAAAATCCCTCCCCCCTCCCCCCTATTCATAAAAAAAATCCCTTCCCTGCAAAACTCTGCAAAATCTCAGTCGTGTCACGACTTGTGTGATACGATGATACACACGATTATACTCGTGATACGAAGATATGACCGGATTTTGTAGGTAACCAACCAGGATATGGTGCACCACTTGAATAGTGGAGAACGGTTCTCCATTTCATCCAACGGCCCACAAAAGTGTTCTTTTAAATTAAAGGCTCAGATCTATTAGAGCAATAGATAGTGGATTATGGGACCCACAACCTGAAAAAGTAGCTGACATGTGGGTCATTTATTTTTAACAAAATAAAACTTATACATACTATTTACAAGTGGTATATGTATATTCTTGTTGAACTAAAATCATATTTGTATTGATCAAAATACATATTTGTATTGAACAAAATACATATTTGTACTGCGCAAAAGTTATATTTATACTGAACAAATATACACATTAGAATATCATATTCGTATTAAACAAAATATGATATTTGCATTGAATAGAATACATATTCCATATATGTGATTTCTATATTCGTAATTTTCACAACTCTTATTCAAAATAATTTACCACGCATTAAAAACCATATTCTTACTAAATATAAAACATATTGCTACTGATCACAAAACATATTTGTACAAGACAGAAATCATATTCAGCATTTTCAAGAACTTGCATTCTCTACTCTCTCTTGTGTCATCTCTTTTTCCGTCTGTGGGCTCCGAAAAAGCAGTTTTTTGTCAGCTCTTTTTCAGTTGCTGACCTCACTCTCCACTACTACTTTTTACCAATAAATCTTGACCCTTAATTTAATGGCCCATTTTATGGACCATTGAATGTAAGATGGAGAACCGTTCTCCAAAAATCAAGTGTGCACCATATCTAAATTCTAGGTTTTGCTGGCCGGGAATTTTGCATTGTATGCGCTCCCTTTAAAACAAAGCCAGTAATAAAAAAAGTCGAGACTTTCAAATAGCTGCTACCTCACCCGACTGTTGTCCGAAGGTGAAGACCCGGGACTATTTGTATGAATGTAATAGATAGTGTAGGATTAATTCTGTAATGTTTACTAGCTTTTTACTCGGCCCGTTGGCCGGAGAGCTTTATTTTATAATTTATATGTTTAAATCATGTTGGATCTTCTAAATATTTTGTAACAGAGTTTGTAGTATGTCTATATTGAAATTTTCAATATTTAGCACATTCACTTGTGATGCTTCGGTTTTCTAATCATAAATTATGTCGATGTCACGTCCCATTTTAGAATTTATGCAAAAATTTGTCAATCAAAACACTAATATTTAGCGTACGCCAACCTGAACCACGCACACATATATAAAGTTCAAGCTAGCGTGCGCCAGAAGTACGCTATACTTTTGCGTTCATACTACCATACGACCATTGAGTTTTACTATTTAGATCCGAATTAACAGGATTTTTTTGGGACATGATACTATACCCTAACCTCTAATAGGTGAACTCCAGTCCCTAATTCTGTAACCTCTAATTTATGCACATACTTCGTAATACCTATTTTCTATCGTGTCTTGAGTAAAATAAAAAGTATAGTATACCTTGATATTACATATACATGTATATATATGTGTGTATTAGACTCAAAATTATCTAGATATCTCACTTTTACCCCCATAACGCCAGACAACCATTGGGGTTGTCTATCGTTCGATATGTAATATATAAAGAGGCAATTACTAAGATCCTACTATTTATTTTTTATCCTCTCCTGCCACCCACTTTATGGAGAAAAAATAGTAGGGATGACAGGATCATAACTCAATATGGTTTTATTATGTTCATCGTATCGGATGTTATGTTTTTTTTTTGTTTTTTGTTTTTTGTTTTTTTGCTTCTTTTCATTCTACTTTAGCACCTATGGTTGTGATCAGAGGTATTTAGCCCCCGAAAGGGATTTGGATTTTAGGTCCTTTGGAAATCCAATACACATTCATGATCCTCGAGTTTGGACGAACTCTCGACCACTGTTGTAAAGATTAGGACTTTCAGTGAGATATTCTTAGTAAAGATACTTCATTATTGGATTTATTCATCCATATTGAAACTTGACACACACCGTAGCCCTCATGATGACTAAATTCTCTAATCTCGACTCATTTCCATTTTGGATGTTTTTTTTATCCAGGCACTTAAATTTAGTATATTATACAATATGTATCAATTGTTAATTCTTGAAGTTTATACTAAACCTCAACTGGTGGTCATTGTTTATATGTTGGCTTAGAATCTCAATCTAAGGCACTCACACACACTATCAATGATTTTGATCTTAACATGGTCGTTGAATGTGTAATTTTCAAAGATTTTATCACTTATATATTAATAATTGATAAAGAGTGTTGCCAATACACACATATTTCAAGTGCATTTAAAATTTCTTATCATTTAAAAAATATCAGTGGATTTCATTTGATTATTTGCATTAACTTATTATCTTATACAACATATATCAATTTGTGTTTCTCGAGTTTCGACGAACTTGCAACCAATTTTGAGAGTTGAGATTATTGGATAAAGATACTTGATTGCTAGATAAATATGTTTATCCCAATTGACTATCTTACCAAAAATTGCTAACCTTTATTTGGTAAATGCCTATGTTAGTAGTTGATGAAACGTGATGTTTATCGTAGATTCTCAAGAAAGATTTTTCTAACCTTCACATTTATTATTTTTCAAGGAATCTTGTGTCTCATCCTGGGGTATGAAGTCAAAGTTCGTCAACAATCATACTTAAGTCATTTTGAAAATTTTGATTTATAATCGTCGACGATAGCTCCAAGTCTGAAAAAAAATTCTTAGCATACGACTTCGAACCTCAATAGAGCTTGCTCAATCAATATGATATAGAGCAAATATTATTAATGTGAACTTAGGACACATTATCAAATTATTGCACATGCGAATCCTCTTCATTTGAGGAATTTAAGGTAGAACATGATCTGAATGAATAAGAAGTTTTTTTTATAAAAATAACTGTAACTATTCGATCAAGATTATACTCTGACATTTTGCTAAATAATACTTGTTTAATTTTATAGATATACACTGTACGAATAAGAAGTGTTTCATTGCAACAAAATATAAAGTAATATAGTTTATTTTTCAAAGGTAATTAAATGTCAAATGTTTATTTTCTCTCTTTTTATATATATTTTGGTTTAATCGATTAAAACATAATTGTTTATGTGTATGTTTGTTTAATTTTTTCATCAAAATGTAACTTATCATTCAATTTCAGTAAAAATGTATATGTTTGTTTAATTTATTTAAACAAATGTGATATATGTCACTCTCTGTTTTCTTATTTATATTTTTTTTATTTAACAAAAAATTATTATTTATATGTGTTTGGTTAAGTTTTTCAACCTGTAACTTATCATTGAAAACAAAAAAAAAAATACATGGATAAATGAAAAAGAATAATTGGATAAAAGAAATGAAAATATTAAAGAAGAGAGATGTAACTCCATAAGTACATTAATAATTAATTTTTTGTTTGTAAAATAGTTGTCCAACTTGACAAATTGTGGATTCTCCAAGTGCTTATGTGGCAACAAATTTTTTTTGAATTGCCATAATATATAATAATATAATATAATATAGTATAGATAGATAGATATAGATTGATAGATAGATTCACTTTGTGCTTTAATTAGTACTCACTACAAGAAAAAAGGCTTTTTGCAACCAAATAAATTGGTCTCTAAAGGTCTAAAGTTGGTTATAAATACGTATTTGCAACCAAAATGTCGCTATAGCCGCGTTACGAATACCTACCGTAACCAAAATAGTGATTGGTAGCGAAAAAGAAAGCTATCGCAACCAATTTCGCCAAAGGTAAAAAAACCTTAATTTTTCGCGACCATTTTAATTTGGTTGTCATAGTCCGACCTAATGGTTGGGAAATGTAGTTGTTTGGTCGCCAAAAATATAAATGACAACCAATTTGATATGACTATTAGTAACCAATTTTTTTGGATGCAAATAAAATTTACTTACCTCTTATAGGTGACCATTCAATTTGGTCAGGAAATTAACATATGTCAACCAATTATATCATTACAATGACCAATTTTTAAGGTTATGAAAATTTAACACAACCATGAAATTTGGTTGTGAAATACACATATGCCGACCAATTATATAATTTAAGACGACTAATTATATTTGTTATATAAGTTTAACACAATCATTAAATTTGGTCGTGTAAAATATGTACCGCAACCAATTAAATCATTTAGGAGACCTATTATTTTAGTTATGGAAGTTTATCACAACCAAAGAAATTGGTTGCGGAAAACAACTAAGCCGACCAAATAAAATAATTTCAAATTACTAATATGATCAATTTGCCCATGAAATTTTGGTCATTACAAATAAAAATGTAAAAATTAAATTATAATAAAATAATTTCATATCATATCTCATATATAAAAAAATGTTTTGTAACTAAAATCACAAATACAATATGTTATCACTAGGGAAGCCCACTATTTAAAAAATCACAATTACACACGTAACTATGCCGAGCAGAAACAAAGGGCGCGTTAATGATTCTTGGACCTCGACTCCACCTCTGTATCAGCTCGAGCAGCTTTTAAGTAGAACCTGTGAATTAGGGAAATTGACGAGAAGCAGGAAATTAGCATACAACAAGATAAACCTATATTCCTAGACAGTACCATAACTAAGATATACCTATATCTTGGACAGTAGCATGCAACAAGATAAACCTATATTCATGGAAATTTAGCAGCTTTGGAAAAACATATAATAAGTTTGCATGAGATATATATTTGAACTTAAGGAATGGTTTCAAACCTGAATAAGAACTTTTTCTCCATAGTATTGCTTTGCGGCAGACAAGAAACTCAAGAAGTTTCTAATATCCTGGAAACAAGAGATATAAAGAGGTATTATATTAGCTAATCAAATTGCCAAGAAACTCCGGACCTGAATTATAATAAAGGGACTAGACAGTACTTGGCTAGTAGCCCTCCTTTGTTCAAGTCCAAAACAGAATTCATCATTCAGCAATTTCTCGTTGTTTGCACCGACATCAATGGTAATAAGCAAACACTACCATGAACAAATCAGAGACATTCTCAATCAGCTTCCAAAGATGTATAATTATTGTAGACAAAACAAGTGTGTTTACAAGAACACATCTCCAACCAACCTAAATTTATTAAGTACCTGGCATCCAAGATCTCTGAGTCCCAAAATCCTTTCACCATCAGTCACAACAGTGACAAGAATGCTCCTCTTAGGCCAGTTCTTCAACACATCAAGAACTCTCCCTCTGCACACCCAATCAATCATCTTTCATGAGGAATAGAAAGATTCAACTAGAGTATCCAAATCACTTATTCCCAGAAATCAATCAGACTGACATACTTCTCTTTCAAGCTGATCTATAGACCCTATGGGCCCCTGAAGGGAAGCAGAAGTAGGTTCCTTATATAAACAACAAGCCTTTCCTGGGTGCAGAAGGGGTTTTGGTTTATCTAATGGCTACCATTGCAATTGTTGCATTCCATGTCTACCCTATCGGTTACATGCCCACTTGCTGCGGTGAATGACTGAAAGAAAGCAATAGTGGGTTCCTCAGACCAGCAACATGCCTTTTCCGGGTACAGGGGGAGGTTGTGGTGCTGGACAGACCTTCTCTCACTACTGCAGGCTTTGACAGAAGATGGTGTTGTGCAACTGTATTCGATGATGTGGGAAAGGAAAAAGGGAAAACACAGATTTGAAGTGATAAAACCGAAGGGCATAAGAAGGGAGATGGGTTGTGGATTCTTGGGGTTGGTATTAGAACTGTCATCGAAGGATGAGTTTGGTAGAGCAAATGTTCAAGTGGAGGAAATCTTCTCTTCGGCCAGCACCTGAATAGTGACTAGATTTTGGGATTTTAGTTATCCCAGAAATCATAAGAACAAGGGATGAAAATAGATATTTCAATTGAAGAACCTGGAAACATGCCACTGTCAAGAAGCAATCCATGCATAACCAGAGTTTTATTAAAGGACTACAACATAATCATAGAGAATTTCCAAGTCAAATATGTAAAAGTAAAGGACTACTACAAGTAGATAGCAAACCTTGAAGATGTGGCATTGGCCTCTGTGCTTTCTGTTTTTCTTCTACTATTTCCCAAGTTCAGTGGTACAGTTAGCTGTATGGAACAGAAGCAGAAAACACCAACGCTTAAAATTAAATCGAATTCATATTATAAAAGCTTCAAGACATACAACCCTAGGTGAATAGACTCACGGTTAGTACTCTTCAAAATGTCACAAGGGTAGTTTTTGTATTTGGGGGAAAAGGGTTTCACTTGCTCTTGAAGTGGAATGTGAAAGTTGTGACGATGACAGGGGCAACAGTGAAGAGCTCAAAGAAGGAGGAATTGATGTCTACTTTAGGTAATAGTCTAGGGTTGTTGGTTGTGCCTTGTATAAGTGCATAGACAGGCATCACAGAGCTTATACCAATGAAAATCACTGCCAAGAGAACTGATACCACTAAACTAAACTTCAATGACTCTGCAGAATACAAGAAACAAAGCACCCACCTCTAAATATTCAGGATCGAGCTTACCGATGATGATCATGCACCCAAGATTAGTAATCATGACACAAATCTGGACCGCCGGTGAATAAAATTAATATTATAAAAGCTTCAAGACATATAACCCTAGGTGAATAGACTCACCCTAAGAACCAGAATAGACTCATTGCAATCAGCTCCAACTTGCCAAATTCAGGACGAATTCAACCAGTAAACTCATTACCATTTAGTTTCCTGCAAATTAGTAGCATCTAGAATGACTTAACCACATACATTGACTATTCCACACTAGGTGAAGTTGAAATTAATTGTACAAGATGAAGTTGAGTTCCAGGAAACCGTCTCTAAGTCAATCAACTTACAGGCACTATTCTCCCGTGAAGCAGCAAGGCAAGTCTGGCGGAGGTTTTCTTGGCCTGTGTTCGTTGTAAGAAACTGACCTCTCCGCCTAATTCCACGAACAATCACAATCAGAAAGCGAACAAAACTAGAACCACTCGGTACTTTAAGAAGATTTCAAGTACTAGGAACGCCGACGCGAGCTTACTTGAGTGAGAGTCACCATGAGTTTGAGCAAGTCAAAGAGAGAGATCGGCGGACTTGGCCAGAGTTGGAGGCGGGATCAGTTCTCCTGCGACTAGAAGTTCCAGAACCCGAACTCAATAATGGGAGAGAGATCGAGGAGGCGAAGGAGAAACTCCTTCCATGAGGAAATTCGCAATACATTGACCAAATTGATTCCAAGTTCAAATCCGAAATCAAGGCACGTCGATCTGAGATAAATTCAAACCTACAATGGATATTCGAAGTTATTCTGGAACTCGGTATTCTGATTCGAGATTGAAAAATAACAAATCAAAAGCGGATCAAAATTTGACTCAGCTCAAAATTGAAAATAGGATTCCGATCGAATTCTGAATTAGGTCAGCTTAGAGATAAATCAAGAATAGGCTAGGATCTAAAGTTACCTTCAGAGAATCGAGGGGGGGATTTTCGAACACAGTTGATGAACTCTTTGCTTGATTCAAAACTGTGATTCTTCTGGATACTAGAGTAGATGGATCTTAGAGAAGCATATAGGAACAAAAAATTAAGAGGAGACGGGAGAGGATAAGAAGCCGGAGTGAGAATCAGAATTGGGAATCATCTTCCTTCTCTACATAATAAGTTCAGAGTACATATCTCAACACAAACACCACGCTGACAATGGAAAAAATGAGGAATACCATAAACAGAAGTCGAACTCATGTCTCTAGCTTAACTTATCAAGAGGACACCTTAATAATTGACCTCTAGGAGCCTACTAGGTTGACAATATATAATCTACAACTTCATAATGGCTAAATTCATCATTGCAAAGATTACTAGGTTAAAGAGACTGACCTTTTTTTCAACGGACCAAGTATTCCTCACTTAAGCATCATAACAAGTATCAGCAAGAAGAGAAGCAGGTTAATGAAAATGTCAGACTTGGGATAAACTGCAGCAGCGGACAAGAAAAACTCGCTCAATGTAACACGTTTGGCATTAAATGCACATAGCATCCCATCTTCAAATAAGTGGACCAAGAAATCCTCTGCTTCCTACAACACATGGCAATTCAAATAATAGACTCAGGTTCAAGTGATTGTTTGGAAAGTTCAGATCATAAGCTGTATCAGTAGAAGTGAATGTGAACCAGTCACAGAGAAGCTTCAAACGTCCCTATGCTATTTCTTTAACTTGCATGGAAAAGCAATGAGAACAATGTAAGTGGTCATGGTACCTCTTGAAGAGCCATGAGACCTTCAACTTTCCAGCAGCTCACTTTCGGACTATACTCTTGGGTGATCGCTCTTACCTAGTCATAGGAAAAGTAAGGAGCACAAACAACAAAGAAACTCAAATTCTGCATGACCAAGTTGATAAAATCAGCATTAACTTAGGAAAGTGCAGTCTAGTCCTGAAACATAAGCTATGCCAAACAGTGCTCTAAATGCTGCTTCTAGGAGCTTTCCATGTAAATATTCATTGGTCATATCCTATTCTAAGTTACCATGCACCACCAGAATGAGAAGACCTATCTACTTTGAGCATAATAATTGGTCAGCCGAGTCAATTCAAATAACATACAAGATCTTCAGGTAAAAACTACCTTAAATGTACATACCAAGTTGACGAGAACCAATCAAATTGACACGGGAACTCTCAACACTAACCACAAAGGGAGACTAAAAGAGAAAAACTTATTATCAAGAAGACTAATAGAGAGAAGCAAACCAAAAGAGGAGTCAATCACCTTCTTAGTTAAGCCATTGATAAGAGATTAGCAGTCACCCAACCCTCTCTTCAATTCAATTGAACTCCGTACATATGCATCATGACAACATAGCAATCATTCATTCGGTAATTTGGCGAATACAAAGTTGAAGTTCCAGTTGCAGGGACCTGGGCAGTAGAAGTAGAGCCAATTGATTGGGAGTCTACTCTATCAAAAATATCATCTAACAATACCTAATTCATTCTCTACAACCAGAGAAGGAAGCGCAAGCTTCATTAGCTCCCAATAGAAACCATAAATACAAAACAGAAGAAATTTAGAAACAGATAGCAATCATTATTGATGCAGCAGAAGTCAGCAATTTCAGTCAATTTTACTCCGAATTACCAAAAGATCTTGTCGACAAAAAGAAATTCCAGAAACCTAGCTCGGTAAAGAGAGAGGCAAAGAGAGATTGGAGAATCAGGAACTCACAAGTGAAATAGAGCTTGGAGGCGGCACCGCATCGGAAGGAGCGATCTGGCCACGGAAGACACCAAATTGGGAGGAATAGGAAATTCTTCCATGGAGGGGTTATTATGGCCGCTGCCGCGTGTTGGTGGTAGTTGTGGTGAAGCAGCAACGCTAGACTCTGCTTAACGATTTCAGTCTTTGAATGCTCGGACAAGTGCTGAGACTTGGAGCTCGAGACTATCTTTGCACAGCCTGATGACTTTCTGACTTCTCATCTATGGTTGGCGAATGAGAAATTGGGAGGGTTGCGACTTGGCAAGAGATGGAGAGGAGGCTTGGCGACTGATTCGGGAGAAGAATTCGAATTTCGAATTCGATGGGAGAATGAAATGAGCTTTGCGTTCGAATCCCTAGAAGAGGAGACAAAGAGCAAGGAGGAGAAGAAGGATAGAGTGACCATCGGCGTTTCCGTCGCGGTCGCAGACACTTGTTTCGGACTTTCGATTTTCAGAGATAACTCCGGAGGAGGAGATTCAGGGCAGGAAGGAGCAGATACTATGGATTCGAGATCAGGCGGAGGTGAGCTGTAAACCTCCACAATCTTCTTCGACCGAGAAATGGTCAAATGGAGGACTAGAAAGGAAAAATTCACTTTACCACTACAACGACCAAATTTTGTTGGTAGTCTCACTTAGTAGTTAGTACTCAAACTAGTAATAACTGATAATCTAAAACTTTACAATAAAAATTTGGTTGCTTAAACATTTATTATGTCCGCAACCAAATTATTTAGTCATCTAAACCTTTATATGATTCCCAGAGGTTTACTGCAAATTGACAACCAATAAATTTTAACATCAATACAATCACAACCAAAAAAATAAGATGCTGGAAAAAATTTATTGTGTTTGCAACCAAATTATTTGGTTGAAAAAAGTAAATAGCATTTTGCTACCAAATTATTTGGTTGGAAATAGTAAAAAGTATTTTGCTACCAAATTTATTTGGTTGAAAATAGTAAAAAAATATTTGGCTACCAAATTGTTTGGTCTCGTCAAGTTTGATTTGGTTATCAATACTTATATTTAAATAGACAACCAATTTTTTAATATTTTAGCTACCAAAATATAATTGGTCGTATATACTAACCTTTTCGCAACCAATTTCAGTTTGGTTGTTAAGTTTTTGGTTGCAAAAACTAGTTTTTGTTGTAGTGACTTTAGCCTTAGGTATACAATGGATGATTGTAAACGAACAGTGTAACTTTCATTATAAGTCCTTAGTCTTCTCCTTCGGACAACACAGACATATTCTACACCACAAAAGACACGAGGGTAACGATTTACATGCCCAATCCATCAAAACTAATACGACACCAAACAGTACACAACTTCAAATCCTATATTACAACATAATGATATATTATCTTTAATCGTACAAAACTGATAATAATAATAATTAAATTAGCAGGCCGGAAGATCTTTAGGCGGAGGAAGCAGTCGCTGGGATGGCAACGGACCATCCTGCACCACGAACCCCGTAGCCAGCCCCCAGGAAGTGTGCGGCTCGAAGTGACAATGCACGAACCAAACCCCCGGGTTGTCCGCCTCGATCCGAATGGCGGCCCACCCGCCCATGGGCACCCCAACCGTGTTCCGCTCGGGCGGGTCGACCAGGTTGTAGCCCTTGGGGTCCCTGGACTCGTCAAAGTTGCCGAACCCGGTCCCCACCACGTAAAAATTGTGGCCGTGGATGTGGATGGGGTGGTTCTCGGGAGCGAGGAGGTTGGTGCCCTGCAGCACGATCTCTATCTTGGTGCCGTAGGGCACCACGATGACCCTGGACCCGAACTCCATGTTGGTGTTCATGGTCGAGGCGTTCCCGCCCGTGTAGTCGAACTTGTTCAGGGGCCGCTCGGGGAAACCGCTCGAACCGGTTCCCAACCCGGTCCGGTAGTGCGTCTCGAGGATGGAGGTGGAGGGGCGGAGGAAGGACTGGTTGTTCATCGAGGCCATGAACATCTTCCCGTCGTAGCCCGTGCAGGTCTTGTTTTGGGGACAGTCCTGCAGGTTCAGGCTGATGGTCGTGATCACGCGCCTGTCGATCGTTTTGGGCACGTTGCACGGGTACTGCGACGATGCCAGTGATTTGATTCTGTTGGTAAACGTCGTCGCGAATTTCGTGTCCTCCATTTTGGGCAGGTTCTCAGGAAGTTTGACTGAAAGGTCGCGAGTTCGATCCTTGCTGATGGTGCCAGTAGTGTTGTATTTTAGGTAGCCCATGGTGGTGGAGTTGTCGAAGGGGAAGATGGAGGTGACGTAAGGAGTGGCGGCCATGACGAATGTGGCGGTGGGGTCCGAGGGGAGCTGGTCGGCGGTGAGGAGGAGGGTGGTGGTTTGGCCCGGAGCGATCATGATGGCGGTGGTGGTGAACGGCTTGGTGTATACGGCGTCGACTTCCACCACCGTGAGGGTGTGTTTGGCTATGGAGAAGAAGAGCTCGTCGCCTAGGGCGGCGTTGATGACTCGGATCATGTAGGTTTTCCCGTATTCCACCGTCGCCGTGTAGGTATCTGGAAATGAGCCGACGTTAGTCTTTGGTTTGATCATTTTAATTTGTGGCTCGTTTTATGAGAGCAAATTACAAACGTTACCTTTGGCGGAGCAAGGATAGAGAGGTCCCGGAAGTCCATTAATGGTGTAAGCAACGGAGATAGCTGCTCCAGCACCAGTCGCCAGCATTGTCGCTTCGAAGTCATCTACTTCTTTGTCCCACAACTCACCTACATTTTTACATGTACATCATTGCTATTAATTAGTAGCAATAATTTTGGACCTTTGTGTTAAATCCCTTATCTACTAGCTACAAATTCTCTTGAAAACGGTATTTTGAAGCTGGTTTTGGATATATGACGGATTTGTATTAGTATTTTGAATTACAAATATCAAATCGCTTGTTTTGATGCTGAGTAGATATTACATTCGAATGTTGTACAAACACATAATTAAAGATACAAGTTCACTGTTTCGATTACGAGTAAATTTGAAATTGATATTGACATACATTGATTTGAGATTCGAATTAACATCATGTATAATCTATTCAGAAACTTTTAAAAGTTCAGCCAGTATGATTGATGAAAAAAATACACAAGTATTGAAGTGTAACTTTGTCATAGAAAAAGGGATCTATTTGTGAAAATATTAAAATAAAAAATGGGACCTAACTTGAAAGGTACATACATTAAAGTATTTAAATAAAAAAATTTAAAAATATATTTTGTAGGTCCAAAAAAAGAAAATTCTAATAAAGTGACAAATTCTTGAAATATCTAAAAATAGCACATTTTTAAAATGAGTGCATCATAGTTTCATAAAAATACATGCATTTTATCTACACAAATTCATACCGCAAAAATAATACACAAGTCCAAATGAGAAATGAGAGAGGGAATTAGCATGAATCATTTACCAAAAATGATGGGGATTTCAGCATGAATGGGCCGATTGGGAGCGATAAATGGGTAAGGAAGCCGCGGGTTGATGATAAAAGCCCCATAGACGGAGGCCCGTTGCCAAGAGTAATGGGCGTGCCAAAGAAGGGTCCCTCTTTGTTCGGCCACAGTGAACTTGTAAGTGTAGGATTGCCCTCTCCCTATTGGGCACTGCGTGACGTAGGCCGGCCCATCGGCCCACCCGGTCCTCTTCTGCTTTATTCCGTGCCTGCACAAACAAACAAAACCCCAATACATAAAAATCACAAACAAATAAATGAGTTTCGGTGCAATAGTTTTTTTCTTTTATGATACAATATGAAATTGTACCCTTAACGTTATAGTACAACTTTATATTGTACCTATACATTTTGTACAAATTTTTTTATGGTACAACTTGAACTTGTACTTTTATTTGATAATACAACTTCAAGTTGTAAAGTTGTACTTGTGCCATAACATAAGGATACAAATTTCTTCATGGTACAACCTAAACTTATACATGTAATGTTATGATACAACTTTAAGTCGTACATTATAGCACCGATGCTATATAGCATAATAGAAGTGCTCTTAATTAATTTACATCAAATCAAATGTAACATGTCTATAATAATATACTTAGTGAAAGCAAATAGAAGAAACCAAGTCAACAACATGCTCTGTCTTCGTGATTGTACAAAATGTGTTGGGTTGAATACAGCTAGCTAGTCAGTAGTCACCGTGCAAAAAAGTGGTAAGGGCCAATTATTTTTTAATTAAGAATATAAAATAGAACCCTCTTCTTTTATGAATTATATGGAACCCTATTGGTTAGTGATCTTTTTTTATAGGAATGTAATAGTTTATTTCTTTCGCGTTAATTAGCCTCCTGTCCACACCTAACAATATCATTTTACTATTATCAAAATATTGTCGGACGACAAGGCTAATGTAATGGGCTAATGGCTACCTGAAGAGACAACTATTGTGGTGTTGATTCTTTATTAACTATTTTTTTAGTGTTTATGGATTTGATTCTTATGTCTAACATACAATCTTAATCTCACACTTGGTAGAATGGTTTGGATACAACGTTCAATTATGAAGAAATCGAATCATTCACGATAAAAAAAGAATTACCAATGGATTGTGGTGTTGTTGGCGACGCGATTGGTGACCTTGATCTCAACATCGTCGCCTTCATTCACGGTGATGGTTGGACCCGGAAACTGTCCGTTGACCGTGAGGAGTCGCTTTGTAGTGCACAGACGATTCACCTTCTTCCACTCCAACTGAAGAGGAAGAAAAAAGCCTCAATGGATGTTAGAAGTTAGAACCAACATTGAAAATCTAATCACGGTAGAATGTTTAATATTAACAAAACTAATTACTCTTAGCTTACTCACATTAAAACGAAAGCGTCGGGTTACCGAGGAGGCATAACAAGGTTGGAAGCATAAAACGGGCAGGAGAAGAACAAGTAGTAGCGCGAGAAACTGTTGTCGAGGGTCCATATTGATCATGTATAGGAGAAGTCACAACTCAGAAACTTCTTCTTCTTCTTCTTCTTCTTCTTCTTCTTCTTCTTTAGGAGGATCGGACTAGCTAGTTAAGCTAGGAGTAGAGAGGAGAGTGAATTGATTCCATGCAGATAGGCCTTGTCTGTATTTATAGCCGGCCACGGCCAGGGCCAGCATCATGACAGACAGATCAGCTTTAATATTGTGTATTTATTTGTTTTTATGATAATTTGGCAATTATATATATATATATATGAGGCAATAATATAGTGGAGTGGAGAGGGAGGGAGTAGTAGTAGTATATGTTCAAAATTGGACCATAACGCACTGTGCCGCCACCCGCTAGCGACTGGGAATCCGATTATGGGTAGGTGGCTGGGGGAGTATCTTTTGGAGTGGAGTGGGGAAGATAAGAGAGAGAGATACGGTTTCTTAACCATACTCCCTTTGGACGGGCGTGGACCTCGTGGTTGGTCATTCATTCCCAATTAACTATTAATTACATTGCTGTCCTTGCTATTATTGTGTACTAAAATACATTACCTGATTTAAATTTAACAGGGAGCTAAAGATTCTAGCAACAAAATCTAACGCTTTCCTATCATTTCCAAATACTGATTGGTTTCTATGTATGATTTAAGTTTTTCTCTTCTTTTTTTATTTAAGGGCCGGTCACACGCGTACCGATTCGAGTCGAGTTAGTTTCGAAATCGTGAGTTGGGGGTTTTGTAGATTAGAAATCGTTGCGCCGAAGATATTTTTAGATGATTGTTGGCTCAAAAGTAAGAATTATGATTTGGTAAATTCTATTCTTTCATTTTCTCAAGTTAGCGATGTATAGCGGTCAAATAAGACTAGCTATTATCTTCTCAAGATTTTTTACTTTTTTTTTCCATCATGTGGGAGTGGGAGATAGAATCCATTTCTGTCTATGTACTGCTATTTTTGTGGAGAGGGAAAAAAAGTCAGTAGTTCGCTACAAAGTTTATTTTATATATTGCAGGAGCGCTCAATTGGTGAGCTAGTACGCACTCTTTTAAGGGTGGCTGCTTTTAGGCAAACCCTCATGATTGTCTCTGCACCCCTGTCTTATATTATTATGATTTGTTATGTCCGTTTAGTGTTATAACTGAAAAAATATATGTAAAATTTCAGGTATACTAATGTTGGATGTACGATGCAGATATTAGCCACAGGCACTTGAAAATCACGAATAAGAGAATGAGATTGAAAAACCTTCCCCGTGCGCATAAATATTGAACAAATATGAATTTGAATATTTGAAAATGAGTTTTAACATAGTTAAGAGAAATCTGTCTCAAACTCGCCCATTCCTACTCTTATATAATAATAACAACCGAATCAGAGAAAAGCAACCCAATCCTTTTGATGATGCATGATATATATCCAATTTTGGCTCCATTGATTTGAGTTTAGAAGGCACACATGGATCATGCAATAATCATGTTATTCTATATGTAATGACCCAACTTCATACATAATTAATCCCAGCAAAAGCCATACATACATACATACGCCAAGTTACCACGTGAGTTGGGTGGAGTGGTTGCCACGATTGACACACATGATTTTTGTGGCTTAGCGAAGCCACTTGCTGTTCATGCAGCCAGCCATTGTTGAACTCAAATAATGAAGAGAAAGAAAGAGACGATGGGGGATAAAGAACAGAGATTTATTCCATAGTTGCTAGACTACTAAAAGGCAAACTAGCTAGCTAGGTAGCTTCCAAGTCAAATGTATTCCACTATACGGTCATCTGTTTTATAGTCATGGATATTACTTTTCAAATGGTAATGATTCATTTGGAATATTGAGGACCAAAGTTTGGTTTAAAAATGTGGTGTTTTAGGAAGGCGATGCCCAAGTTATAATTAGAAAGATTCGAGAAGGTCAGGTCAGCGATGTTCTGGGTGACACAGTTTTGGAAGAGATTAGAAGTTTGAGAGATTCGCTTCAGGTGTTTCACATCCGTTTTGTTTGTTGGAACTTCACAATTGTTCAAGGTGCATACAATTGTTCAACCTCTGTCTAGAGATGACGGGTTGAATTCAGTTCATGGATTCAATAAATTTATCAGTAAAATAATTTAACTGATATAATTCATTAATATTCACAATAATTCATTAATGCAAAGCAATTTAGATATTGACTTACCCTCGTCGCCTCATTGCCAGGAGTGAGATACCGTCACTTCCCCATATAGGGTTGTGAGATTCGCAACTTACTTCCTAGTCATTGGATACACTCTCTCTCCTGTCTCTCTCTTCTTTTTTTGAAATTAATGGTTAGGATTAAAATAAGAGTATTTTTGGAAGGAAAAAATATTACCACACTTAATCACTCTCCCTCCCATATAAATACATAAAACCCTAACTCCTCCCACCCTCTCTCTCCCTCCTCTCTAGCAGAGAGACGGCATCGCCGCCCTTCACTGTCGTCGCCGCCCTCAACAGCCCTCGCCGCCGCTGCCTCCCTCCACCCCTGTCGCGCCCTCCATCGTCGCCGTCCAGCAACACTCCACCTCCCTTCACCCCCTGTCGAGCCCTCCACCACCGCCGCTTCCGCAATCCTACGCCTCCCTCGCTCCCTGCCGTCGTCGTCGCGCCTCCTCTCCTTCGTTTTTCATATATGTGAGTTTTGGATTTTCAGATGTGGTTTTTTTCTTATAGTGGTACTAGATGTAGTGGTACGCTACCACTACCATCTTGTAGCTACCACTACCATTTGGTACCTGGTAGTGGTACGCTACCAGCCTACCACTACCAGATAATGGTACCAAATGATAGGTAACGGTATCAAATGATAGTGGTATGATACCACTATCAGGTACCAGATGGTAGTGGTACCAAATGGTAGTTGTACTCTACCACTACCAGCTACCAGATGGTACTGGTACCATTGGACTGGTAGTGGTACCAGTGGTAGCGGTAGCGTACCATTAGCGCACTGATGGAGCGGTAATTTTTTGCAGGTGGCCGGAGCGAGTATTATTCAAGGGTTTCGCCGGAGAAAGTCTGTCGGTCGGAAAGTTAGCAGGTCGGAGTGGTGTGACTGCTAGAAAAGGAAGAGAGAGAGATAGGAAGAGAGATAGTTATATTTATTGTAGGATTTAAATTTAATAAAAAACATGTATTTAATATGGATTTTTAATTCCCAATCTGTAATTAATACAAAAAATTAATTAATAAATTCATTTTTTGTCATACCCAAAATGCCCTTGGTTGTGAATCTCACAACCCCATAAGGGAAGTGACCGTATCCCACCCCCATTGCCAATATTTAGCATCATTATTGATGGGTGCTCGATCAGAAAGCTAATTTACGATCATCTTTGTCCTAAATTTTTTTTTCTATTCATTTTAAGTCTCCAATCTCTCATCCATCTTCAGATATAAACTAACCATAACCACAGAAAGTAGGGATTAGATACCGTCACTTTCTTTAGAGGGGAAGTGATTTTCGCTTCCCTCTTTCAAGTCCTAGACCCCCCTTCCTTATCCGATGGTCCATAACGCATGAAGAGCTTTTGTGTAAGTTGCTTAATTGACAGAATTTTTAAAAAAAAATTAAATGCATGGAGAATATTTGTATGTGTGATTTGTGGGATTGAAGTAGCACTAACCATAACCAGCCACAGACCGCTTAGTTTGATGGTATAAACTATAAAGCCAATGAAGTCGAGGTTTCGTAAGTTTCCAAAAGGATGAGCCTCTCGATCGAGGGTGATGATGCTAGTATACATACTGAAAAGTGTTACTGTCGCCTTTGAGTCAGTAACTTGCATTTAGGTTACTTTTATCAGAATTAAGGTGAATAGTCAGTAGCAACTTTAAACAAAGTTGGTATACCCGACTTCTCCGAAGCAGCTTTTTGCACGCAAAGAAAATAAATAACACAAGTGCGTACCCTCACCCTGACTGCTTCATATTCTGTGCAACTTGGCATTGGCGTCGTGGAGTGGTTCATTTAAAGACTAAGGGGTCAATTAGATGAGGAACTGAAATGGATTCATTTCTTTGATGAGATATCAACTAGCACGATATTCTATTTCCGTGGTCCAAAAATGAAGATTCGAGTTCAACGATATATGAATCAATTAGGAACGTTTAAGATGGACAAAATAGAATCATGGCGTGCATGAGTTAGCTTGGGACGTGTGGCTTTGTCCTCAACTCTTGGTGGAATCAAAATGGCCTAGGTTGATTTATTGGATGGTCAATTAAAGAATTGGATGGCATGGCTGGGTTCATTCACGTGAAGCATGGGTTAATTGGTGGATGAATTACACTACAAAAAAGAGGAGCATTGGGTACGAATATAGGAGACAGCTATATTATTTGGTCTTCGGGAAACACAATACTAAGTAATTTAGGAGACAAAACAATAAAACTGTCCCCATAGATTAATTGTTAATTAATTAATTGGTTTGAGCTTTTTTAAGTCGTCCCTAGAGGAGGGTGAAAGTTTCGGCGGCTTTACAAGGAAAATAAGAGAGCTTGGCGGGCTTTCCGGGATCCATTAATTGAGCTTAAAGTCTGATTTTTTTTTTCCAAAGTCAGAATAATAATCAAAAGTCACAAATCGGAAGACAGAAAGGCGCGGGAGTCGACCAATAGTCGAACTCCCGATGAGAGGGCCTTTTGTGCCACATGATGGGCAGCCCTATTAAGGTGACGGGACACAAAACAGAAGGAAACAGTGTGAAACGAAGATGTCAAGCTCCGAACGTCCTCCAATATAGCGCCACCCCGAACATGTTGCACATCCCCTCCAATCATCCGACGGATCAAGAGTTGAGAGTCCCCATGAAAACAAACAGCAAGAAAGGAATGAGTTAGACACCACTGCACAGCATCCCGTAGAGCTAAGCATTCCATGAGAAAAGGGTCTTGAATCCCATCATAAAATTTTCCAAAGGCAAACAGAACAGTACCTGTCGTTTGGAAACCGACAAATCCAATACTACCTCCTTGCCCACGCTTGGTAGCACCATCGAACCAGACATTGATCGACGTAGAGGACACAGAAGTCGTATGGGTGCTTCTGGGAGCACGAGAGGGCCTTGGGGCTGCAGAAAC